CTATCTTAGTCTGTTCATTATCTATCTATCTATTATCTATCTATCTATCTTAGTGTTGAAGCTTAAATAAGCATGGAATAATACAACACAAAATGTACGTTAACAAAATGTATTGAAACAAAGAATAGGTACACAATATTTACAGTTAGTTTGGTATATTCTTGGGAAGACTGTTCCTGCATAATGGGTTGACTAAATCGCAGTCGGGCAGAGTCTCTGGATTCAATTTCTTAATCTCTACTGTCTTCCCCGTCTTCCGGTACCAACCCATATTTATATGGTCGGTAGTCCGCTTATGTAAATTAGGTGTATCATACACAACACTTAGTCTGTTCATTATCTATCTATCTATCTATCTATCTATCTATCTATCTATCTATCTATCTATCTATCTATCTATCTATCCGATGTCATCTTTTATTATGTAAATCAATGTCTTCACAATAAAACTCTTTATTAATCAACACATTTTGATAACACCTTTATTACAGATTGATATTAATATAATAAATATATTATGCGAATTTCACCTCATAATGCTAACCTCGTTTTAAAATATATTTATTATAACGTATTTAATCATAGTCTGTTTTTATTAAACATTCTATGCCACATACCATACCTAACCGTAATCCCAGCCCTACATCCTGTTGAAACACCGCTTCCCGTATGATCACCGAAGTTAAGTAACTTCGAACCCGGTTAGTACTTAGATGGGTGACCTCCTGGGAATAACAGATGCTTTAATCTTGGATGTTTAGTTAATATAATAGATAATGACCCAGATTTGTTAACTGGAATGCAGAGTTCAGATATTCTGCTTATTATATCCAAATATTATCTAATACCTTTGGGAAAGTTATGAATTCATCTCTTCCCCCCTAGCTATGGGTTAAATAGACATTCACCATTAAACCATTATCATGTAATATCTTTACACTATAAAAATATTTTCTGGATTTAAATAATCTGCAGAGGATTTATATGTAGAAAACTAATGAATCGATCAATGAAACACTGTTCAGCAGCTACACAGGCATGTCCTTTTATATATATTTGCATTCTCTGGAATATTTCGGTGACCACAACGCAAGGGATCAGTCTATATATTGATTACAATATAGAATTGATACCTTACTTTATATCTACATTATGATTTCTTTATTGTTTATCAAATTCTGATTAGGTATGAATGCACCTTTTCTCCCCCCAGCTATGGGTTAATTAATAAAAAATTTTAAAAACAAATTTTTACAATGTAAATTTTTTTTTTTGCCAATCAATCAATTAATGAAAACAGTAATCTTAAACAAAATAATCAGTATCCTCTAGCAAATTATTACAAAAGATAGGACTCAAGATATACCATTCCAGACAATGATCTGGAATTGGAACGAAAGTAGTGAGGGCGCGTATCTTCATGTGGAATTGGTAAATACTAAACACTTCAAATACCTATGTCTATAGATTACTTACAACAAATTTAGTGTGATATTGAAATTGAGTATAGAATAGGCTGTTCTAGGGGTAGTTTCACACAATGCCGCATGTTGCCACAGAACAAAAAGATTAATCTAAAATCTCTAAATTTCTAACCATCGATCTGACTATTTCGCGTCATCTGCGTGAGTCATCGGCGGCATTGTTCTTTTACACGCACCCGGAATAGTAGTCAGCGTCGATGATAAACATTTTGTGACCTTAAAGTCATTCCAAATTTAAACGGGTGTCAAATCCGCGTCCGGTTTGCCTGCCTGTCACGGCCACTAGTTTTGCCTATTGCGTCATATGTACAAGGCAGCGTTCGTTTTGTCAAGGGAATGTGAGCCAACCAGTGTAAAATTACTACGACTATTACAACACACACACACACACACACACACACACACACATATATATATATATATATATATGTGTGTGTGTATGTATACATTTTTGAAAAGATTTGAATCCATGAATAGCTAAGCAATACCTAACTAAGAAAATCCCAATTAGTGATGTTTGGAAACACTTAGGAGTAATGTATTACCACATGGCTTTGAATAAATCTGAAATTTTGACCTCCTATAATAGTCCCCACCTCTCTCTCTCTCTCTCTCTCTCTCTCTCTCTCTCTCTCTCCCTCTCTCGCTGAACAATAAAAAATATTAAAAAATTAAAATCTTCAGGCACATTGGGTTGTAGATTAATATTCTTTCGTTTTTATTATTATTATTTCATTTAGCTTCCTCGACTAGTTTCGTCCAAAATGGCCATCATCAGGAGGAGAAATATTTCTGCTTGCTGGTAGCAGTAAACTACAGAAATGCTTGCTGGAGAAAATGAACTTTTGTCTGTAGTTTTCATTTGATTTTTTTAATTTTTTTTATCTTTTTAACATGAATTATTTAACATTCCTTGTGTTGGTCAAACAGTCTCTTTTAAGTTGTTATTTGAGATAAGAGCTGGATAGATTTATGCTGCGCTGAATTCCCTTGGTCAGTTTGACAGTTTTATTGGTTCCTGGAGAGGGGAAGTGTCTCTGTTAAGTGTTTGCGTGTGTGTTATTTGGTTCTTAGGGAGTGAGTATGATATGTGTAAGCGTGTGTATTGCTTAAAAAAAAATTCGCTTGAAGATGGAACAGAGCTTACTTTAATTCAATTTAATTCAAATAATTATATTGACGTTTTCGGCTCTTGTTTTGAAACATGAGACCTCTTATGTAGCTTGTTGAATCATATTTTAAATAAATTATATATATATATATATATATATATATATATATATATATATATATATAGTTAAATCATGCATTTTAGATGGATCAAGGGTGGTTTTCAGTGATGCACTGTTCTCATCGCCGATGATTTCGGATTTTGCATCATATCGGCTCCAAAAGCAACCCCGACCTGATTCTAGACGAGCCAGGCTGCCTTCTTGAAAGAGTCGTGCTACGCACCGCGACATTACAAAAAACAGTAAACATAAGAAACAAGCAAGGCCGGACTCCGACCGTTCTTATTGACATATGTCAGTCAGCGTCAGCCAATGAAAACAGGGCTTTTCATGCCCCTCCTACTATATAGTGTTGTCTTTTTTTCTCCACCCGGTTTAGATTTACTACTTCCGGAATCCATAACGAGGTGAGCTGGTATCTTTATTGCATTGTTTAAGCCCATGTTTTACATATTAAATACTAATCCGATAGCGATACTAAATCTTTAACTAAACCTACACACGTACCCAACCCAAATCTATCCTATACTGGCATTTTCTAAAAAAGGAAATTCGCTATTCTGACTATCAAGTCAATCTATAACGCTTACCTTATACTTTTATTCAAACAAAATAACACACACACATACAAAAAAAAATCATCACCTGCATGTACGTTCCCGCATATATATATATATATATATGAAGAAAAATATATACGGAAAAAACAAACAAAAATCCTTATATACAATTATGCTGTTTTAATGTTAATATGTCAACGTCGGACGTTTCGGTCTAATAAACCATCTTCAGGACATATTCATAAAATATAATAAACATTATCAATTCAACATGACAAAGACAATGTACATAAGAACAAGACTTATCCAAACAGATAACTGAAAAACGTCCGACGTTGACATATTAACATTAAAACAGCATAATTGCATATATTTCCTTATATATTTTTCTTCATACTGTCGGATCTATATCCATATATTTGCTTTTATATATATATATATATATATATATATATATATATATATATATATATATATATATATATGATGTTTAGATTGACTAAATTGTTTTGGATAGTGGATGTTATAGAGTTTGTAAGTCGTATTGTGTCTTTGCTTTTATCTCTCTCTCTCTCTCTCTCTCTCTCTCTCTATATATATATATATATATATATATATATATATATATATATATATATATATATATATTTTTATTTTGTTAATATTATCTTTTCCGTTGCCGACTATTGTGTATTCTTTCTTTTCTCTTAGCATTGTGAATGAAATCATAATATATACACATTTGGAAAATTTAATAAAAACAAATACCAATAGACAAAGGCGCATTCAACATATTACTTAAAAGGAAAAGTTACAAAATTATTAAAATAAATGAACATTTCTTCAATATTGTTTAATTGCTTGTTTTTTCTTCTTTTCTTTTCAGATTTTGATCTCAATCTATAAAAGGCAGGATGTGTGTGTGTGTAACGAATGTACGGATTTGCACCAAAATTTACATGCACATGCTCCAAGTTAGCGATAAAGCCAAGACCGACTTTGCATTTCCCAACTCCTATCGATAGTGGAAATAATCGATTTTTTTATGCTTCTACGGCAGTTTTCATGTAGTTTGCGGCCATTTTCTATTGGCCAGAGTGAGAGCCTATAGCTGGCTGCCACGAATAGGCAGGAAGATTCTATTGGCCAGCGTGAGAGCCAACAGCTGACTGACACGAATGTTAACTAGCATGCAAAAAAATCGATAGCTGCATTCGTCACAAGTGGGAAAAATTTAAATCTGCATGGCACTTTACTCCAATTGGCTCATTCGTTTGCTTAAACTCAACGTTGATTCTGATTCCGCAGAACTGGGTTGGGTGTGAAAAAGTATTTGTTGTTAACATTCTTTTTCATTCGGTTTTTTCCAGTTAGGAGTCCTTTTTAAAGCTGATCATTTTGTGTTCATTTTGTTTAGTTCTTTTTTCGTAACAGATTTAATGTTTAGTATAGAGCTTAGAAAAAAAATTCGCAGTGTGAGATAGGCAAGAAGTAAGGCATGTAGCAACATCAACACGGCAAAGGGCACTCCTTTAAAGGCAAGGAAGGGCAAAAATATTTTAAGTCAAGTGATAGCGATTGCTGTATGAGTCGTACGATTTTTGAATCAAGCACGGCAACTCCGGACCATGCTGCTAGTTTTTTTTTATATATATAAATATAATTTGTGTCAACTCTTAAAATGGCCACTTTCTGCGGCCTCCCAGGTTACCAAATCTTATCTGATGCAATTTTTATCTATGGGGGTATATAAAAGAAAGAGTGTTTATTCCATCTATGACTACTAATCTTGAAGATTTGAGACATCGAACTGTTGAAGCTGTCAAGTCAATATCCACAGATCAATTGATTTGAGTGTGACAGTGGAATATAATTTTGATGTTTGTCATGCAAAACATGGAGATCATATTTAGTGTATACAAGTTAAACAACCTTAAATTAATAAACTCGCAACATTTTCCTATCCAGTAACATCTTCAATGTGCTTATGTCGCTTAGCTTTTTCTTAATTAAAATTTCGAAATATGCACATTTATTTAGAATAACACTGTATATTATGGAGTTCGGTTAGGTACTATTTTTTGCCAAATCCAAAAATACAATTGCTGTGTGGAATAATCTTGCTAATTAGAAATTCAACTTATTCAAATAAACATACCACCGGAATATTTTTATTACATTTTCGAAATCTCCTATTTCATTTTTTAATAACCCTGTATATATATATATATATATATATATATATATATGTGTGTGTGTGTGTGTGTGCGTGTGTGCATGAACTGGTTATTTCGTCATGTATAAAGCCAGTTTAAAAATGTACACTTGTCTACCTTCATTTGAAGATGAATATTGCTAATGAAAAGCCATTTGCATGGCCTGAAGTTGTCTTGGAGAAATCATCAATAAATTTGACTGAGAATTCTGACGGATTCTTGTCATTAATTTGGAGGGAAAAAAAAGCGCCTTGCTTTTCCATATTTATTTGTTAAAGCGGTGGACAATTTTTCTGTGGATGATGTCTTTTCGTACAGTCAGGAAGAAAGCGTTGCAGAAAATCGAAGGAAACAAAAATATTTACCGTTCAATGCAGATTTATAACGTATACCTATCTTAGCATCCCAATATCTATCTATCTATCTATCTATCTATCTATCTATCTATCTATCTATCTATCTATCTCGGACCTTTTCATATCTATCTATCTATCTATCTATCTATCTATCTATCTATCTATCTATCTATCTATCTTCTAGGAATCTTCATTGTCTCTGTTTGTCTGTCTATCTCTCTCTACATACATATATATATATATATATATATATATATATATATATATATATATATATATATATACTACTGGTAATCGATCCGTTGCTATATAATCCGGGTGGATTCTACAAATATTAATTATTAAAACTGATCCACGGAGAGCTCGGTGTTTTGTATTTTAACAGTGGATATGTATTTTTTTACAGCAAAACACCAAAAATTACCTCAACATAGTGGATAGTCCATTTCAAGCCATTCTATACGCGGCTATCATCAGCCCGTATGTATCTGTCTCAGAGCATTTTAAATTTATTTTCAAATCAGTCCTCCTCTGGTAGACGCCTTGTTAATGAGAATGGATTTGTGTAAGCGATTGGTGGGGGCGTAAGCTATCTTATCCCGCTGAAACGGTCGGGGGTTGGATTTTTTGTTATAGCCAGGACTTGTTGTTTTTAGTTTAATATCAGTTCCTACTATGGGGCATTTCTTATACAAGCCCCGAGTGTGTTTTTCTGGGATTCACAGTGAATAGTTTTTGTACTACAAGGGTCCACTATTATTAATAAGTAATGGAGGATTTAAACTGAAACCCGTTAAGATTAATGTAAATTAGTTGAATTAGAGATTTATAGATTGTGGGAAATACCAGAGCACCCAATGGAATAAATCATGCTGTCCAACATACTTATATGCATACATATCTTCACATATTATGAAATGGACAAAGTCCGACAATTATTTTAAGACATTTTTATGTTTGTACATTCTTTTTATAGAAACAAATATTTAAGTAAATGCACTGTTTATAATAAACAGTATTAAACAACATTTACCGGCCTGAATACATTATTATAAACAGAGATTCATGGAAGATTGAAGTTTAAATACAGTAAATTCGACCTTGTTAACCGAACGCTTTTTCGTGGCCAAATCGGTAAAGGCACGTCAAGCTAACTGACGGTTCCGTATAGGATACAGGTTCAAATCGGAGGACGAATATTTTCTGTGAAAATTTCTCGGAAATTCAGGCTAAACATAACAGGTTTAACATAAAAATGTCTTAAAATACATATCTTCATACATACATATATGTACATTTACATGTCCATACATATATGCTACTACACGCATACATACATCCCCACATATATGCACATGAATTCTCATGTAATTTGGAATTTATTTCTATGTCTGCATATAGTGATTAGTTCATTCCGTTGATTTAATAGTTCACGCCAGGGAGGTAAGGTGCCAAACACCTGTGAATGCAATCCTACCAGAAAGACCTCCGGGTTACTTGTGCGAGTTTTGTGACAAGGTTTGTAAGTTTGTCGCGGGACTGGCCAGTTTCCAACAGAGCTATCACAGACAAACCTTATGTTTGCCACGTGTAAAAGAGAAGTTGTAAAAATGAAGATGGCCCTAAGAATCCCTAACGGGCACATAGCAGATTATCAAATGAATACAATTCTGAATGAAAAACCCACAAGAAAGCTACCAAGTAAAGAGATGGTTTTCTTCTGCAAAAAAGTGACAATCAAACACACACGCGCGCACACACACACACACAGTGCTGTTCGATAAAAGGGACTCACCTGATTTTTTTACTTAAAAATTTTTTCGCCTATTGTTTTTGGGATCAAACTAATTTTTAGTCTTACTAATATAAAGACCCCTTCCCAACCACCTAGTAAAAAAGTTTACTCACCCTAAGGTATTCTATTGATAATTATAATTTTGGATATAAATGAGATTCAGGAAAACACTCTGTGCAAAGAAAGTGACTCACTTATTTCCTGCAACTATTAATCAATAGAAACATAACCGAACAGCTTTAAATAAAGAATAATAGAGGTATAATTTATTTATAATAGGTAATATAGTTTGAAATATTTAATAATCTATGGGTCCTCCTTTATTTGCATTATCCGGCATAAAAATGAGCTTGGTGGGGTCAATTTGCACCCTTTCAGCAGAAGGGAGCAGACAAGACTCTAAAATTCTCTTGTACTGCTCGCTCTTGAGGGTCTTTTCAATAGGTTTTAAGAAACCAGTTCCATGAAAAGAAAAGCATCCCAAGAACATTATACTGAACGGATGCTTGACAGTACTTACTGCTAAATTCAAAGAGCTTTCAAAGCTGCTTCTTCGGATTTTAGATCGCTTATCCTTTGAATTTAGCTCAACTTTCGTTTCATCGGAGAAGAGAACATTTAGTAAAAAAATCAGGTGAGTCACTTTTATTGAACAGCAATGTATGTATGTATGTGTGTGTGTGTGTGTGTGTGTGTGTGTGTGTTTGAACAATAAAAATATTAAAAAAATAAAATCTTCAGACACACTGGGTTGTATATGACTAATATTCTTTCGTTTTTATTATTTCAGTTAGATTCCTCGACTAGTTTCGGCCAGCATGGCCATCGTCAGGAGAAAATGTTTTTTCGGCTTGCTAGTAGCAGTGAACTACAGAAATGAATGTCTATCTGAATTTAGAGAACGCTATTTTTATACTGTTAACTGAAAATTACGTCAATTACTGTCACGTGTGGAGATATTGGTATTATTGGTGTGTTGACGCATTCAATCATTTTCTTTTGATTTCAAGATACTGTTGTGTACGTTTGTTTGGGAGAGTAGTAATTCAGTATCAACCGTACATAAGAGTATCTCTAAATTCTTCCAATTGCTAAGGACATTTTGTTTTTTGTTATTATTAGTTACTTTGTTTAATAAATTAATTTCGTTTTTTGCCTTGAAAATGTCCACATTGGACGAAACGCATCGGCAACTATTACAGATTTCCTATTGTCTTTTACACTTTTATATATATATATTTACAAGAACCTCCAATTAGACAACAAGATCAAAGACATTTTCGATAAACCACCCATAAATGCAATGAAACAATCACCTAACTTATCAGCTATCCTCACCTCTACCAAATATCTAAGCAATAGAAGCCAAACAGGAAATTAAAAATGTAACAAACCTCGTTGCTTAGTTTGCAAACATTTAATAATAGCTAATACATTTTCCGTACCCAACACCAATATCAGAATACAGCCACCTAACCTCACCTGCGATACCCATAACGTAATCTATTATTTATTCTGCAACTTATGTCCTAATAGTGGATATATTGGTGAGTCTGGAAACAATTTTAGATTTCGTTTTAATAACCATAAACAAACAATACGTCAAAACAACCCTTATTCCCCATAGCTAAACACTACAATCAATCAGACACACATTAGAAAACTGCAAATGTTTATTAATAGATTCCGATTTTACTTCCACATTCACACGCAGAAAAAAAAGAAACATATTGGATTTTTAAAATTAAATACACAAAAACTAGGATTGAATAGGGACTTAGGTGTTTTAAATCTTTATAAATATTTCAATAGTTAAGCAATTTTTTTTAGATATAGTAAAAAATTTTTTTTTTTTTTTTTAAATATTTATGACAGTTAAATTTAAGTTAAGAATATCTGAACAGTGACGTTCCATATCACGTGACGTCCGCGTCTCGCGAAGGACGCTACTTGCTAACAAACAGTAATTTTAATTTATTTGTAACAAACAGTTATTTCTGATGAAAAATTGAGGACAATTTGAAATATCAAATATATATATAAATAAATAAATACTTTCATAAAATAAAACATTATAATTTTCAATTTGAAACTTTTTCTATATATACATATTAAGAAAGTATACGTGGCTTCTCATTATATATATATATATATATATATATATATATATATATATATATATATATATATATATATAGGATTTGCCATTCCTTCTAAAGCCCACTTCAATTCTAGACTTCTAACGTAGTAGATAGGTTCATCTATCGTCCGCTTCACTCTCCTTCCTGGTCTTTTGAACAGGATTAGGGATTTATCATTTTGTGTCCTGTTTAGGATTGGGATTCTAGTTCTTTCAAAAGCATTTTCATCCTTTTCACTATCAGTAACCTCTTTTCATCTTAGTGGCATTATCGCCTTGCTTGGGGTGAATTGATTAAAGAAATATCGATTTATATGTACTTTAGAAACATACAGATATACATGGTTGAAATATAGTTAAGGCGTCTATATATACGTATATGAATGTGACATATGTGTATAAAATACATATTTGTCTCTATATAATGTTTACCTGTGCCAGTCTTCCCGCCTTTTATATAATACTCAGACACTGTTTTTCTGCTACGCAGCCTTTTCTCTTTCGTTCTTGTTGATCGTATGGCGTCAAAATGGTGTTGTTTTCCTCACGAGGGCGTACGCGTGAACAACGCAAGGGTAAAAAAAAAAGAAAAAAAAGAATATCAAAATCAGGAATGTATTAAAAGCGGGAATTATATAAAGGAATGAACAAAATTGTAGAATTAAAAGAAAAGAAAAAACATGACGAAACAAATAAACGTATGAATCATTGTCTGCGAGAATTCGCGAGATTACATGCTACAATACTGATTAAGTATATTTAAAAAAAATAGCTTAGCAGGAACTAAAAACAATACGTCACCCACTTACTGATTTTTTTTTAATGAAAACCTTCTACAACGAAATGCAGCACTAACCATTCTTAGTTTGAGTGTCGGGAGGACTGGTTGTTGGTATAAACAATAAATTCTTGGAACAGTCTGTGATCTTCCGTTTAGGTCGTGAAAAAGATTTAAAAAATAACTCTCCAGAATCTATCATACATTATAAGTCTACCATTCGTCCATGCTTAGAATATTTCTGCCACATATGGTCCGATGTCCCTGCTATTTACCTTGAGCTCCTTGATGAGCTCCTTGATAAGCTCCAAAGAAGAATCAGCAATTTTACTGGTCCTGATCTGGTAGCTCAGTTTCAGTCACTTTTCCAGCACAGTAAAGTTGCCTCCCTGTGTCTTTTCTATAAAATACTTTCATAGTAATTATTCGGATGAGCTCTTTACTACTGTGCCTAGACTTTTTTTTTTTAAA